CAAATCGAAGCCTACAGTCTCATATTTTGCAAGCAACACTTTAAAGAATTGTGACATCGTGAATATCAAACCATTTCATTTGTTTAATTTCTTGTAGTCTAAATGGTGATCCGGTACTACAAATTTCATATTCCACATTTTGAAATACAACATCTTTCGGGTTTTTATTTCAGAATTTTATAAAATTCTATTGGCATAGCACAAGCTCTTTAGTATTGTTTTACTTTCAAAATTAACGCCCAATTATATGCAATTTTTTAAATTAATTAATGCAGTATTTTATTGTTGCTAAAGTCTGTTTTTGAGAATGATAACAGTATTCGTGTCATGTTTCTTTTGTGTATAGAATTGGCCACTTAAATAATACGCAAAATAGAGCGATCAACAAACTTATTCGATAATTAGTTAAAAGATTACAAAAGAAATTGGAAAATAACTGGGATTTATTAAAAAATCTTTCTCGCAAATCGAAAATTACAAATTCCCGCGATATGCCAAAAACAAAAGACACAAAAAAAGAATCCAAAATTATTATCATTACAGTTATTTTTATCTATAAAATACCATAATTTACTCTAATGAATAAAATTTCTAATTTTTTTAAAGTTCATAATTTTTAAGGATTAATTCAGATTTTTTGTTTTTTTTTTATTAAAAATCTTATTAACAACACTAATATCTTACGTTCATAAGTTACGATATTAAACTATAAAAAAGAAAGGAAAAAAAAATACTGCTCTAGAAAAAAACAACAAAATAGTTAACAAAATTTTTATTTCCCGACAAATATACCGGTTCTATTTTGTTTCATCTATCGAAATCTGTTATAATTATAAAAAAAAAAACAATAATAAGAAAATAAAAATTAAATTAGATTTTAATTTAGATTTTGTTCATGTCTATAATGTTAATCAAAAGTAAAAGAAATGAATTTCGAATCCGTATATTGATCTCATGAAATATCATCATGCGCGGTTCGTATGTTATAAATCTTTAGCACAAAAATTTTATAAAATCAATTTGAATATTTAATCTGTAAAAGTCATAAAAAATTAAATTATATGGATATTCACCACTATCGCACTTATATTATAGCTCTTGAATATAAATTACATTGAAAACGATAAATGGTAGGCTAGATTTGTAGATCAGTGCAACCGGACTAGCAGTATCTCTCTACCTTGAGTGCCAAATATTTCGTTATATTACCTAATACTACACCATCCTAATGAGCTCGGACACTCCAATAGGCGTCGAAGATCGCAACTCGGCCGTTGTGCCATTTCTTTCTCAAATTAGCACAAATGTACCGTTTGCCTACCTTCACCACGCGATCATCAGCCCATCATTGAGCGTACGATTAGAGGTTGCCTTTCTAAACCACACGGTTCTCTTAAAGACTAAGAAGAGCCCTGAGTCTGCAGTGCCCTGATAAGATCCCGGTGGAAATTCTCACCTGATTCTTTCCCAACCCCATAATCTTAAATCGTTTCTCGTCATAATCTCCCAGGAGTCTTTTCCGACTTTCCCATTGTTCCGATTGTCTTCTATCTGATTCTTTCTTTTGTTGCCAACGAGTAATATGTAGTCAAACTTTCCAAAAGGACTTCGGTCGAGTAAAATCGTATTAACAGTTTAACAAATGCCTTGTTGAACTTGATCTACCACAGTTGAGTTGAAATTTGGCACTCTTCCTGGCAAATTCCTCATTTTATGTAAATTATTTAAAATAAATCACATGTGAGTTGAAAACAATTTTAAACTAAATGTTTTAAACGTTATAGTAAACGAGAGTCTCCATTTTAATTAAAGTGTTGTGGTTATATCAAACACAGAAAAAAAACCCAAAATAGTTAAATTTCGTGGTGATACCCCGCTAAGCTAGATAGAGCAAATATTTTCATATTAAAAACAAAAAAAAAGAAATTAAACTAATGTTATACTTATTTATTATTTTTACGAATTAAGTTTAAAGGGTCAGATGCGAAATTTCGAAAAATTATTGATTGAATGGTATTCGCCGTAAAACTCACTTTTGCTGTGCGATTTTACTGAATTTAGAGAGTTGATTTGTGACAGTTACCTGTTATCGTAAGGTTTTATGTATGGAGTTCAGTAATAATTGAGTTGATATTGCAAGTGTTTTCAAAAATAATCTAACTGCACAAGCGTTTTTAAATTGGCTATTTAAGTTGTTGTCGCCCAAAATAAAAAGCAAATATGAATAAGGTTTGGGATATATCAAAAGTAATCTCAAAGAATTCTGCATATAGTTCAGAAGACATTTTGTATAATTCATGATTACAATTTTCGATATTAAGGCTTTAACTTATAAAATTTTGTTAACTTAAATGCTTAAGATGATAGCATTTTAGAAAAATATTCCATTTTAACATTGTATGCGCAAAGGGAAAAATATGATCGTACGAATATTACAAGTGAAACACAAAAATTAATATAAAAAGGTGATTTCTAACACGGTAATAAATTAACGTTTTAAAAGTAAACTTTAATAATATCTAAAATGACAACGACACGCTTTATTTGAGGATTAATTAGCACATTGCAATAAAAGAAGATGAAAGAAGAAAACAAAAATATTTCAATAATATCAACACATCAACTAGCATTGACTTAATGACTTTGATGCTGTTAATGTTACTATAGATTGATTAAGTATAGTGGGGACATGTGAATTAGATGGACATTTGAGAGATGGATGGGACAGTGATTAAATGACGTTTTTGTGTTTGATAGTGAAAATTTTTGTTTTTCTAATAAAATTTTTTTTTTTTTTCGTGATAATTTTATAGTTTTTAATTTTGTTTTTTAATTTTCGCTCTATGCTTTTTTAAATACCATTATTGATTATGAATTTATACGATATAAATGTATGTTATAACTGTTTCAGGTCAATCACATATTATATTATTAGATACTCGTATTTGTAATAATTTTAATTTTTGCCTTTTTATTTTATCTCCCATATGCATGTTAAATAATTATCTAAAATTAGGATTGCTTAATGGTGGAAAGTATTTTAAATAAATAAAAGGACTACTAATTTTGAAAACGCGAATAAAGAATAAATACTGGCTTGACCAACGCTTTAGTAAATAGAGAGCTACAACTTCCAATTTAATTAATAGTATATATGGCGCCCGACGTGGGGGCAATAAATAGTAAATCAAAAACAATACTGTTACCGGAGATGTCCTGGACAATATCGGAAACACAAACTCGGATGAAATATGTGAAGATGATGACTGGTTACTGTTGCGTCCAAAAATTTGGTTCACTAGTGAAGTTTGGTGAAAATTGCATATTCTGATATGACCAAAGCCAAAGCTAACTGTGAGCAGCAACGTCTATGTTAATTCAATATGATCATAAATAATATCATATACAAAAAATAAGCAAAATAAGTGGTGACTGATCACTGCCACGTCCGAAAACTTGGTGTCTTAAAAAATTCCGTAAGGTAGGCGACAATTGAAAACCTCTTTTCAAAAAACAAACATCGATATTTCTGCATAATTTTATTGTAATTGCCTTTTAGAGGATAAAACTTTGGAACAGGCATGCAGATCCACTATTGTAGAATGACGGATATCTGTTATAGTTTTTCGTAACTTTATTTGTAATTTAAAAACATCAAATACGTTTTGGAAAGTGTGGCAACTTTCCTGTTTAACAAATATAATATTAAAAAATAGTTTTTTCACTAAATTGACCACAAAATTTTCAAAATTAATATTTATATGAAATATCTATATATATTTATATAAAAACGTATATAATAAATAATCGAACGAAAATTTAGAGCTATTAATTTTACAGAGGTATTAATTCGAAATTATATTTAGCCGAAATTGTGATTTATTAGATCTTGCCTGCTGTGCCATATTATGTTTTAATAAAATTTTAACAAAATGAAAGGAAAAAAAGAAATTAAATGGTTTTTTTATTTGATAATTAAACTGTAACAGTTAAAAACAAGCTTTATATATATATATACATGTGTATTTTATTTTACATAATCAACGAAATGTACAGAAATGTTGTATATAAAATTTATACATTTTGGGATTTGTGAAAAAGAGGCGGACAGGTTTTTTTTAGTTTTTTTCTGATTTTACTTTAAAAAATCTATGGTTTTTATATTATTTAATTAATACAAAATTATACGGATATAAAAATAAAAATTAAAAATTATTTGAATTTATAGAAAATTATGGTTAGATGTGTAAACAATGTCATAAATGTGAAAATTTCAAATTCTAAATGAAATTACTTTTAATATAATCATAAAATTAATATTTAGTTATAAAATTTATTTGATAATAAACATTATGTGTATATAAATCAAATCAATATAAATTTCATAAATTTTCTAAAGAACTTAATTTTAAAATCATAAATGCTTCATATTCCAAAAATTTTATTGTACCGCATAAGAACACTTTGATATTTACCTAAGCCATTTATTTTATTAATTATATTTTGCTGTTGATGAAAATCAATATAATTTTATAATAATTATTATTTTTCTAATCAAAAAGCAGCCTTATAACAAATAAATCCGAGGAAAATTTATAAAGATAGGCTTGGTTGGAAGTTGGAAAGTATGAGAACTTCTATTAAACTTTGCATGGCTACCCTGAGATCAGGGTTAAATTGGCGAACTTTTTGGTGCTTTCTTCTATCTTAAATTGTGACATTGTGCTTTTTTTATAGGTACTACAAAACTGATAAAATTAAAACCAGTTATCAATGACTTTCCTAGGATTACAGCTGGAAGGGGGAAGTTCGACAGCTTTGCTGATAAGAGCAATTTTCTACTGGGCTATTCTTTTGACGAGTAACTATCGCTGTATCAGATTCTTTAACAGAATTATAGTATTTCTTTTTCTCAATATTAATTATAAACTAAAATTTACCTGTTTTATGTCTTAAAACTAGTTAAATAATTAATTTAAAGAGTCAAATAGCCGCGTTACCTTCGTCCGTGGTCAGTAGACAGTCTTTGTTTGATTTGTGTATCTGCATGATTTCATGAACTTCTCTCGTGTGTTTTCCTCTGACCTCTTTTATTTATCTTCCTACTCTTGTTGTAACAGGTATTCGATTTTGTATACACCGTGTCGTTCATGTTTCTTCAATTTACTCGTATCCTTAGCTGAATTTAACAAGTTCTCAAGTTGGTATTTACTATTGGTTTCAGATGTCCGAATATTGTGTTTCTTTAGTTGTTTACTTATCAAATTCGTAGAGTTATTATCAAAACTTACAAAAGATACTCATGTCGTTTTTTGTTCTTCCAATAACCTGTTCTGTTTTCAACTTACTCATATTCTTTCAATATTCATTTCCTGCCCAATTTTTCGTTTTTTCCTTTTAATGAGTTTGTTAATAGATTAAACAGAATAACCGTTCTTCACAGCCGTATCCAAAACAAAGTTTATTTCTATTCTAAAGTCCTATTTATCCATTCAGGGTGAAGTTGATGATCGCCGTCGTGACAGAATATGCAAACAATACTTTTTTGAGAGGAATTGACAGTTTGTTGTGTTTTTCTCTTTTTGTTTTTGTAAATATTAAATTGTTATTTTCATTTCTATTGATTATTTTTGATTAATTTTAAAAATTTATAATATATGCTCATGTAATAATTATCATTAACTATTGATTTAATGAGTATGTTGCAAAACATAAAATATATAAAATCAAAAAAAAATTTAATCAAAAATTCATTCAACGAATTTAAATTAGTTAAAAAATAAATCTATTAATTATTATTGTACTAATTAGTAATTACAAAAGTCAATGTGATGCTATTAATTTTAATAAGAGCAAAAGGGGTTTCATTTCTATTTAAATTATTTATTCGTGTATCGTAAAATATGATGGTTCTCATGAAATTTTTGGAAATTTAATCATATACAATAATATTTTATAAGTCAAGCATATCGTAGAAAATAACAGGAAAAATATTAATAATAATAATAATAATGGTAATAATGATAATAAAATGAAAAATTAAATTAATTAAAAATTTATTTTGAAAGAAAAATGAATTGAAATTCATTGGCAAAAATTTCAACTTTTATTTGACATTTGAAAAAAAAAACAAATGATTTTAAAATGAAAATAGGAAGAGTTCATCGTAACAGTTTTGTGGTACCCGTACCAATGAATGATTTTTGGAGTTGTATTGTAATTGACACACTGTATGAAGCTACTTTATATATATATGGAAGTTACCATATAAAAACCACATACGTTTTACTTAAGATAATGGCCATATTACATATATGACCATATTCAGCCAAATTACTTTCAAAGTTGTATGGCACCTACTACCATCAACCAAGGTATAACTATTTTTATCAAATATAACGGTTTTAATAATGAATTTGCTTGCGCCAAATTTCTGATATAACTTTTGAAATTGTATGACAGGTACCCGAACCACCGACTCGATCACATCTAATTTAAATGGGGTTCTGCCATTTTTTATCCTTAATTATTTGTGAAAATTCGGTTAGCTTAGCTCAATTAGTTTGCGAATTATTGTTTGGACGAACGAAAAGGCGTACAGACAACGTTAAATCGACACAGAATTCGACGCTCATCAAAAACATACACTTATCTATATCTCCGACTATTATTTCCTATATCTCCTAGCGTTACAAAACGGTAAGGTATGTTTAGTATACCCTTCGAACATACATTTGTACGGGTATAATAAAATATTATTGAATATTAAATACTTATACGTATATAATAATAATGATAATAATGATAATAATTATAACAACAATAATGGTACTTTAAAAATTGTAAATATATCGAATTTTCAATAAAACTTAATTACTATAGTCCAATTACTTTAATAATTGAACAAAAAATAATTAAATTTGAAAATATTTTTTTTTTGCTATTTCAAAAGTAATTATTTTTATTTTTTTTTTAATTTGAAATTCAAATGAATAATTTAATATTATAACAATACTGTAGCTAATAACATATTTTTAAAGTAATAGATTTTCAATATTGTTATACAAGCACTAAGTTGCATATATGTGTATATATACCGATATACGAATATAATATAATATGTGATTGTATATATTTTCGAATTTTAAGTATTTGATCCAAAAAATCTACAGTTCTTTGGAGTACTTATATGCATACTGTGCATGTATGGTTAATAAATTTTATTTCAATTCATTTAATTTCTGTTATATACATATGTATATATCTGTTATATGTATACAAGTATTAAAAATAAGTTAAAATACAAAAAAAAATACCACTTTTTGGTATTTTGTCGCTGTCGTCGTTTTTGTCATTTTCTGATTTTATATAGGAGATATGGATTGTGATTTTTGAAATTAATACTTATATAGTTACTTTTTATCTCTATATATATATTTGTACTCATAATATATGGATGCATATGCATGTAATCATAAAAACCGACCCAGCATAGCTACATATTCTAGATATATATACAGAAACTAAAGCATAAATTGATGTGTTTGTAAATGTAAAGTGATTTTTACCTCTATAATTTGCAAAATACCTGTATATGTATATAATATATTTTGGAATTTAGTTCAAAAAATTAAGTATATGGTATATTTAGATATAACTATATGGAAGCAACTATTTAAAACAACCAGCAATTGAATGATGTATGTATGTATGTAGGTCTATGAAAAAAAAAAAATTATTTTTATGAGGTCACGCAACAAATTAGCATATCCCAAGTATACTTGTATATTTTATTCAAGTAATATAAATGTGGTATAATACGAGGATAAAATTAAAATATGATATGGTATATACAGTGAAGAATATTTATATATAGTTAATATTGTGAATGATGATATTAAATAGGTTTTATATTAAAAAAATTTTTAGGGGATTAAAATATTAAGGACTAAAATATTGATTAGAATATTGAAAAACCTAAGATTTTAGAATGATGGCACTACAGCAGTACAGATGACTTCCTCTTGTATACGTCTATCGAGTACAATATTAGAGAAGTCTAACGGGAAGATTTGGAGGTCGTAGTTGAGTGATTTCCAAAATGCAAAAATAAAATTAGGGAACAAGGACAAATAAAATTTGGTATCAGAAAGAGGATAAGTGGATTGCGATTACAAACCACTTAAAGACACTGTTATATATAAGGAAGAGATTTAAATATTTAAACGATCCCGAAGACGTAGAAAAAAATATGAAATAAAAGAAACCCTGTCGAATGAAAGAAGAGAATAAATTTTATGATGGTATGGAACAGACTTTCTACCTTAAGTAAAATGGACCGCCGTCTAAGGGTTGATACTTTTAAAATATTAAAGTCTACACTCCATATATATATCTCCAATTCTCCATTGACGATTAAACCGCCAACCCGCCTAAAACAATAATTTGATTTTTTCAGGTTATGTGATAACAGTAATTGCACGTTTTTGTGATAACAGTAATTGAATAAAATTTTGCTCAATTTTTTCCAAAATAAGAATCTACAAAATAAAAATCTACAAAATCTAAACAACTCTCCGCTGTCATAATCGTAATATTATGTTTTTACTGTGTATATTTTATAGGTTGAAATTTAATATGAAACTTTACTTGCTTATAATAGTTTGATGATATCATATTGTGTGGTTGGTTTAGGATATGAGTGTCAAGTATTTGCAACTCTATAAAAAAAAAATTATAAAATTGTTTTTTTTTTTTTTTTTCTCTATTTGATTCATGTCATGTGGAAATTAAATCTACATGTGTAATTAATATATAATATTATGGTTTGTTGACTTTGTAAAATTGTGATATTATTAAGATTATCCAAGAGAATTTTATAAAATTAACTTTAAATCTATTCTAGAGTAAAAAAAAATTGAGGAAATAAAAAAAAAAGCAAAAAATATGCTTTTTTTGTTCATTAATTAAAAATTTTCAATTTTAATTCAGTTTGGGCGATAAGATTAATATTACTTGGTATCAATTTCATATCTAGGTTGTGATGTTGGTGAAAATGGCTATGAGTGAATAGATTTATGGTCACAGTTAGGGATAAATGTTTATTGATTCAATTGGATTGTAAAGATCTTGATGGGGATTTTGTTTTATAAATTGAGGGTTTTCAATTTAATTTCCCATTTACAATTTGACCTAATTTTCACGACTAGTTAGTTAAAATTGGATGAAAATTTTATCAAACCAAATTTGGAAAAGATTTATTTCAAAACTTATCCAAGTTTGCAGTACATTTAATTACCAATACCCTTTTAAATACTGCGTATAAGAATTGCGGATAAGATGGTAGACAACTCTTCAATTTCTTTGCGAATTTCTATCTCTGACTAGGCTCAGTTTTCGGGTAGTAGATTAGAAGTGTTAATCTTATTCTTCGATTGAGCGGGTTGGACCCAGATAGCAGTTAGGCGTTTATCACTTTTTGTTGTGCTACTTCTGTCCTACTCTACTCTGAGAGTGCCACGAGAAAGAATGGCTATGTTGAGACCAAATAACTTTGCACGGATCAAAAACATCAAATCCTAGAGCATCCCACTAAAACTGAGTATATATTTGAATATTACATGTTGCATTCAATTAATTGCACCAGGTAATTTCTAAATAACTTTATTCGAACAAATATTTTAATATCTTTTTAATATTTGTAGTGGTTTCCTTTTTGGATTTAGTAAGAAATTCATTCACATATATACCGGTTTATCTTCTACATTTATAATCTCCCTTGGTATTAGCAGGTAGTTTAATAATACGCTAAATAAACAGAAGATTATGGTGCAGTATCAAATTAAGAATAAATAAACTACTTGTTATTATTGTTTTGTTTAAATAGAATTTATAGTTTTTATTCAATGTTTTGTAAAATAATTTTTAACCTGCAGTTAAAATAACAAATTATTTTTTAAAAGACACAAGACCATAATCCTTGTTGTTAGATCTCTAAAGAAAAAAAAACAAAGCTTCAAATGAATTTGGTATAGATTAAATGAAGATATTTTTATATGGAAATTGTTAAGAAGCTTAAATGCTAAACACAAAATTTCGGATAATATTGTTGAATTTATCTTATGTACTTATGTAAATTTAATTAAGAAAATGAAACAATATGAGGATCATAATATCCTTTTTACAACAAATTGTATTTAATTTTATTAGTAGACAAAATGGAATCATGTTTTTTTAAGAAATTTTTGGACAAATTAAAATTTGTGAACGAAAAATATTATAAAATTTTACTGTAATATCATTAGAGCTGCAATCAACGAAAATAGAAAAGGCGGCACAAAAGAGTTGTTGTATTAAATTAAATTGATTTCGACGGTGATTCAGTCATATACACCTTTGATAAGCAGTCTCAACGTAATAAATCAGTTAACTATTGAGGATGAAAGTGTAAGTACCTAATTTTTTATTATGCTTTTATAAGATTTTTAATTAATTTTCAATTTTAGAAAATAAAAAACGATAATTTCTTCGTGCAATTGTAGCACACATGGATGGCGTTCCTCTTAACCAAAACTTCGA